ATCAGAAACTAAAATAGAGAATGCTGTGATCCCTACCTTTAGATTAAGTTTACTTAATATTTAACTAAAACAGAATAATGTCTTTTTGATCTTTTTTTTTAAATTAATCTATTCACTATACATCCCGATCATAGCCTCCTCCCTCATCTCCTTCTGGTCCCACCTTTCCTCCCTCTTCCTTTCCATCCCCCTCCCCTAGTCCTCAGAAAGGGGGAGCCCTCCTCCCTTAACAAATGACCCCAGACTATCAAGTCTCTTTCAGGACTACCTGCATTCTTTCCCTCTGTTGCCTGGTAATTCCACCTGCCAGGAGGAAGTGATTGAGGAGCAGGCAACAGAGTTCATGTCAGAGGCAACCCCAGGTTCCCTTACTAGGTGACCCAGATGGAGACTGAGATACTTATCAGCTACATCTGAACAGGGGTCTTCCCCACTGTCTTTTTATCTCATATTCCCTCAGTGGTCCTCGGTTGATGCATCAGTTTTCACAGTCCCCAAACCCTCCCCCGGGGGGGCCCAGAATTGTTGGCTCTGCTGGTCTTCTTCTGGAGCTCCAGTCCCTTCCAGGTCCTTCTATTCTCCCACTCTTCCATAAGACTCCCTGTGCTCTGCTCAAAGTTTGGCTATGAATCTTAGCATCTGCTTCGATCCGCTGCTGGTTAGAATCTATCAAAGCATGTCTATGGTAGGCTCCAGTCCTGTTCCTGCTCTTTAAATGCTTCCTGTGTCTATTCTATTTGCCCTTGAATGAGAACTAACCATCCTCCCTAGGGTCCTCCTTGTTTCTTACCTTCTTTTAGGTGTATGGATTCTAGTATGGTTTTCCTGTAGTATATGGCTAATATCTGCTTATAAGTGAATATGTCTTTCTGGGTCTGGGTTACCCCACTAAGGATGATCTTTTCCAGATCCATCCATTTACCTGCAAATTTCATGATTCTTTGTTTTTAATAGCTGAGTAGTATTCCAACTGTAAATGTGCCACAGTTTCTTTATCCATTCTTCAGTTGAGAGACAGCTGGGTTGTTTCCAGCTTTTTGCTATTAAATAAATAAAGCTGCAATGAGCATGGCTGAGCCAATGTCCTTGTTGTATATTTGAGCATCTTTCGGATATATGCCAAGAAGTGGTATAGCTGGGTCTTGAGGTAGAGCTATTCCCAGTTTTCTGAGAAAGCACCAGATTGATTTCCAAAGTGGTTGCACAAGTTTATACTCCCATCAGCAAAAGAAGAGTGTTCCCCTTTCATAACAATCACGTCATCATGTTTGGCCACTTGAGTTTTTGATCTTAGTCATTAGAGTACTTTCTTATTAGAGGTTTTAAAGCTAAGATTTAAGTAATGGCGAGAAAAAAAATGGTTCTATATATAATGACACTTGCCTGAGACCTGAGTTTAATCCCTAGGACTCACATTATAGAAAGAAAATGCTACCTCTTCCAAGTTGTCTTTTTATCTCATATTCCCTCAGTGCCAAGTGTACTCACAGTCACACAGACACACAAAAACAAACACACAAACACACACAAACACACGCATAATTGAAATTTAATACTTGTAAAAGTGTTATGCAAAACATACACTAAATTACTATTTTTAATAAAATTATGATAGCAGTAGATATTTTTCTTTATTCTGCAAAATCTGTGAATATTCAAGATTCTTATAGAGGCAGGAGGGCACTTTCTGAGACACAAAGTCTAGAGGTCTCTTTGGTCACCTCTTGGACAGAAGAAGAAACACAGACTAACAAACATGAAAGGACTTGGATAATTTATGGCTTATGCACAGTCTTCACCCAGGGTACCAACATATATGCCCATTACCTCATCCAACACACACACACACACACACACACATATATATTGAGAGAAGGTCTCTCTATGTAGCCCTGGCTACATGGAAATTGCTAAGTAAACCAGGCTGGTCTTGAACTTACAGGCAGACTTCTGTCTTTGCCCCTGGATTATTACAGGTTAGACGGATCTACAGATGGAGTTCCAGGCCAGCAGGGGCTACATAGCAAGATCTTGTCTCAAGAAAACAAAACAAGGCAAAGCAAAAAACCAAACCAATATATATGAAGATTTTTTTCACATTAACTAAATTCCTCTCCTATCTCATTGACCGTCTGAATTAAAAAAATTTTCTCCATGGTGTAAGAAAATTACAAAACATAAACTGTATCAAAGGAAAACAGCACTTTAAAGAAAAAGAAACATCTATTTTATTTCCCTTTCTGAGTGACAAAAATAGACATCAGAAGTGGATGGAGAAAAGCAACTGGGTGGGGAGGGGTACAGAGGTGGGAATCAGATGCTGGGAGAATGGGGTAGGGGGCTGGAAGAGAGAACAGAAATTGGGGGTAGGGCATCTCTGGGACCAGCTGGAGACTTGGGACTAGGGAGGCTTTCAGGAGTCTATGGGGATGACCCTAGCTGAGACTCCTAACTTTGGGAGATACGGAGCCTAAAGCAACCACCTCCTGTACCCAGGCAGGACTCCCAGTGGAGGGAGGCATACACTCCTCCCATAAAACCTTTGACACAAAATTTGTCCTGCCTACAAGACATGCAGGGATAAAGATGAGGCAGAGATTGAAGGAATGGCCAGCCAATGACTGGTCAAAATTGAGACCCATCCCATGGGAGAGAGCTCACAGAGAGAGAATGAATCACCAACCAAAGAACATGCATGGACTAGACCTAGTTCCTCTACCCATATATAGCAGATGTGCAGCTTGGTCTTCATCTGGGTCTGCTAACAACTGGAGCAGGGTGGGGTGAGGCTGTCCCTGACTCTGTTGCCTGCATTTGGATCCCTTTCCCCTAGCTGTGCTGCCTTGTCTGGCCTCAGAGGATGAGGATACACTTAGTTCTGCTACGACCTGATATGCCAGGGAAGGTTGGTACCTATTGGACGGGTCCCTTTCTCTGAGGAGAGAGGGAGGGGTGTGTTGGGGTGTGAGGATAGGACCAGGAGGAGAAAAGGAGGGATGTAATAAGGATGTAAAGTGAATAAATAAATAAATTAATGGGAATAAAAAAACAAAAAAAGAAAAATGTCTTACAAGAGATTTATGAGTCTAACAAGAGTTAAGATAGTTTTTGAACACTAACTCCTGGTCTCTTCTTATTATGAAATCTACTGGGGGAAAGTTCACACTCTGTAGGTTTTCCGTTTTCATAGAATTACTAATTTTTTTATTTCATTTAAGATGTACTTGTATTTGTGTGCCAGTATGTGCAGGTGCCCACAGGGCCAGAAGGGAGGTGGATCATCCCCTGGAGCTAGAGTCACAGGCAGTTATGAGCCTCCTATGGTGGGTGCTAAGGACCGAACTCGTGTTCTCTACAAAAGCAACATATACTCTTGTTCACGAGCCATCCCAACAATTCCTCAAAGACTCTCATGAATAGTAAGTCATTGCAATGACCACTATATACCAAGGTAAGTGTGGAAAGGAAAACATCAACTCTATGGAGAGAAATGGGAACAAGAACAAGTTAGACCACCGTTGCTACTCAACGTTAAAATGTTAGCTCAGGGCTTGTTCTTAATTGTGCCCTGTTTTCCACCAAGTCCCATATATTTGGTTTTACAGAGTGCACTAGTATCATGTTCTTGAGCACAAGAAAGTTTGGGGAATGGGACAGACAGATTCCCAAACCCCTTCATGTCTATCATGGTTCTCTAGAAAGACTGCAGAGCAGCCATCACAAGCTCAGAGTCCTGCAGCTACCAGGCAGGGATGAGAAGGAGAGTGTGGGAGTGGATGGCCCCATCTGTGGCCTCACCACTCTAGAACTCAGGGTGATCCTGACAAATCATTCCAGAAAAGCTACGAATCAGGCTTTCATGGCAAAAGTCCTGCTTGATGTATAGTTGCTGCAAATTTACAAGAAAGAAACCACTGTAGTAAACACAATACATTTTTAGAGCAGATGAGGGAAGCCTATTTTGCAAATCCAGCATGCAACTTTCCACTATCTGACTTTACAAAAACAAGTAAGCAAACAAACACAATCAGACACATATTCATTTCCTAGAACACCATAGACCAGCACTGGGAATGTGGGCCACTATCCAGCTCCCCGTTCTCCTTGACTACTATGGACTGAGTGTCCCTGAGTTGGGGTCAAGGATTACTCAGGTTGAAATAGAAATGAACACCCTCTTGCCAACGTGCTCTTCTTAACAACTAAACTGCAATGAAGATAATCAACACAACAAAAGCCCTTGTTCAGTCTTAGCAAGATCAAATATTTTATTGATTGGGACACAGTGATTCACAATGAGGAAGCTCCTTTGTCTTTCTAAAATAAACTTAAATGTAAACATAGTCTGAAGAGAATTAGAAATTACAACTCTGAAGGAAACCAGTGATAGTCCCAAACTCTGTCCCACCTGGAATAGGACTTCTCTCAGCTGTGAGCCCAGGTCCTGCTTTCTCATTCCCCTTTCATTTCTTCATTGCCTCCTTCTAGCACCTACATCAGAGCTCAGTGGGTGAGTATAGGAACAGTGAGCATCAAGACAGAAGTGAGATGGAAATAGCACTAATGAACTCAATCCCTTGGTCCATTATTTTCTTCCCTGATCTCTTCCTGGTTCATATTCACCCTGGTAACCTCTCCTGGAATGAAACACTCATCTGTATCTACTAAGATTAACTATATAATAACATCATATTTCATGATCTGTGAGAAAGTATTCCTGCCTTCAGTGGGGACATTAGACTCTCTTCTGTCCATCTAGAAGGAAATTAAAAGCTGCCACTTCCATGACTAAAGCCCTTTGGAGAAGATAAGGAAAGTGACATTTTGAGGTATAATAAATAAACAAGACAAAAACATGAAGTGCATCTGAATCAAATCTCACCCTCCCTGTTTTTGTTCTATTTTATTTTTACTTTTAAATCTTATTCCTCTCTGCTGGATGGTTTTCGTAACCAGGACGGAAGTCTATTATCTGCATTACCAATGATTGTTTTTCGCAGACAAAAAGATTATGGATCTAAAGGAAACCCAAAATATTAGAGTGTTCATGTTTGAGAGATGGCTCTTCAGTGTGGAAAGACTGGACATCATTTTAACAGTGAGTGTAAGGAGAGACAGCTAGCGGGCCATCCTCTTCGTTACTGCTGGAAAGCAGGAACACCAGATGAACCCCCACAGAAGCGTCCTGAAAGCTTAAAGGCTGTCCAGTGTGTGATATGTCATTGCAGCCTTCCATTCAACCTAACCTTTGACAGGAGGACTGTCTTCAATATTGTTGACGTTGTCTTGGGCTCGTGGTCGCAAGACTTTTGTATTTCTTAAAGTTCTCATCTTAGAAATGCAGAAGGCCACCAAGCTGCAGAGAGAGAGAGAGAGAGAGAGAGAGATGTTGTAGAGAACAGCATGAGGCCACCTTTCATCTCTGAGCAGAGCTTTCATTTATGGTGCATACTCAGAATCCCAGGAGCCCCATTCACAAAAGCTGTGACAGTGAACAGCACCACACTGGGTCCTGTTATTAAGTCATTAAAAAAAAAAGTAAAAAAAAAAATTAATAAACATCAGATTAGCTGGGCGTGGTGGTGCACACCTTCAAGCCCAGCACTCTGGGAGGCAGAGGGAGGTGGATCTCTGAGTTCCAGGCCAGCTTTGTCTACAGAGCAAGCCCAGGACAGCCAAGGTTACACAGAGATACCCTGTCTTGAAAAACAAAAACAAAAACACACAAAACAAAAAGCATCAGACTCACTAAGAATTATTTTTAAAATATCAGTTAATATTAGGATCCTTCAGGATACACACGTAATAGAGCATAAAAATGTGATATCGAAAAAGACAGCTATCTAACATCAAAATGAGTTACCTAACCAAGACACACACTTTGGAACTGGGCTAAGAATGAGAATATTCATGTATTTACAGCTTTGGACTGTCATGTTTTAGAAAGGGTTAGGAGTGAGTGGTCTCACTCCAGTGACGAAAGTGAGATCCCTGGAGCCCATGTAAAGGTAGAAGAAAAGAACCACAAAGTTGTCCTCCATCCTCCCCAGGTGCCATGGAACCTGAACACGCATGCACACACACACATGTACACACACACACACACACACACACACACACACACACTACCAGCCACAACAATAAATACATTTCTACTTAAAAGAAGACAGGGTTTTGAAATCTGCACAGCGTCTACATCCTCCAACTTTAAGCATGGAGGCGAAAAACATGTAAGAAAGCAGCACGTTTTCACAAGGATCCAGTCTATGACACAGTTTCAATGAGTACCCGTATAACGCTCACTTAAATGTGCCACAAGCACTAAAATGCCTAGCCTTTGGGGCAAGGAAGCTCTTTGGGGGAGATAGCTGCTGGTGTCTGAGTGCTGGCTGGGTCATCAGCTGTGGGAGGTGCTTCACTCGGAGAGCTCATTCTGTGCCCGTGCTAACCAGGGTGGACTGATATCCGAGCTTCTGAGCTTGTGGAGGAGCGAATCACAGAAGAAAACAGACTAGCTCTCTTTGGTGCTCACTCACACAGCCCGCCACACCACCCTGCCATTCCCACGGCACGGGCCAGAGAGCTCCTAAAGAGATAAATGCTTTCTGATGTTTTCTATCGGGTTTTTTGGAATGTATTTATTTTGTGTGCATGTCTTGCTTGAATTGTATATGCGTACGACATGTGTGCCCACGGGTTGTTTTTAACTATTTGTTTGAAGCTCTGTATACATAGTCACGTGTGTCGTGTGTAAACGTGTGTACGTGTGTACGTGTGCCTGTAGACATCTGCTCTTCCTCTGGAGCTGGGGGTTCTGGCAGTTGTGAGCCCTATCACACGGGTCCTAGCATACAAGCTTGGGTGAGAACATAAGCAGTGAAGCGGGCGTCTACCCTTTTGATAAACTTGTGATTCAATAGGAACCCAGTTAAGGAAACATTAAGTGAAACTGAAAAAGAAAATCAAAGCGACTCATTCAATTTAGCTTTAAGAAGCAAAAAAAACAAAAAACAAAAAACAAAAAAAACTACCATTCAGCACTTGCTACAAGCTGTTGGTGCTGAGAGGCTCCTTCTGTGCCCTTTCAGACAGAATGGGTGGGAAATCAGAATGCTGACACAACACTGGAAGTCATGCTAACAAGAGACGGGCCCAGGAAACTACATTTTGGAACCCAAAGTGAGCAATAGGAGCCAGGCATGATCTTCTTGCATAGAAGATGAAGGTGAAGGAAGAAGAGAAGAAGAAAAGAAGAGGATGGAGGAGGGGAAGCAAGAGAAATGGAGGGGGGGAGGAAGAAACGAGAAAAATCTACAAGACCCCAAGCTCAAAATCTATTGACATAAGCCATGCCAGCTTACCTTGGAGATTCTGGCTTCTTTTTCATTAGGATGTACTCTAGATTTGGGTGAGAGGAAGCAGGAAGAGTCAAAAAGAAAATTGAACATGTCATAAAAAAAACCATTCATGTTGCTTTCTTCTTCTAATCAAGGATATTTCAGTTTTTTTCATTAATTAATTAATTTATTTACTTTACATCCCAATCTGAAATTCCTCTCTCTCCTTCCCTTCCAGTCCCTCCCTCTCACCTCTCCTCCCCTTTCCCTTATATCCCCTCTCTTTCTTCTCAGAGAAGGGGAGATCTTCCATGGATATCAACCCGCCTTGTCATGTCAAGTAGGACTAGGCACATTTTCTATTGAGGCTAAACAAGGAGGTCCAGTTAGGGGAAAATGATCCAAAGGCAGGCAACAGGGCAGAGATAGCCCCTGCTCCAGCTGTTAGAGGTCCCACGTGAGGATCAAGCTGTACCTCTGTTACATATTAAACCGTTCCCTGGCAACCAGGTTCCTTCCTGTACCCCACAGGAAGTATCTTCTCTTCACTCATGGTGCCTTTACTCACATAGCATTCCTAGCTTGTTAGAGAGGCACTGGTAAACTCTCTTTTACTAAGAGAAATGAAGAAGTCTAGATTTGTAAATTGACTGCTGGAGAGCCAAGATAACATGGACTCTCCAAGCAACCTAAGACACAATATCCTACTAATGGTGTCTTCCATCAAGTGACATCTTTTAAAGATGTCACTAAGATGGTGCTCTACTGGCTTTGGATCCCTCCACGATGTCAGGTCAGGAGACATGTGCCACCAAATACTCCTTACCCTCCATTTCTAGTCAAAGGCCTTTAAAACCCCCAATAACCCCTTCCCCCCTTCCAGGGGAAAATAAACCACTTTGGGCCAAGAAAGGGAACATATTTGCAATATTTTATCCAATTTCTATATCCTTTGGAGGCTACCCACAAGCTGTGACCCTTTCTGAATCAGCAGCCTGAGGTGCTTGCTGCCAGAGCCAGCTTAACTAATCATCATCAATATCCAAGTTCTAAATATTAAAGGGAACTATCCCATACACTTATTCTTCATTTTCTGCCAAGTCATATGAAACAAGTCAGTAATGACTTCATTTGTGGTGTCTTGAAAAATAGAAAACATACATACAGAGAACAATAAACAAACTGAGGAGGTTGTATTTTAGGAATATATATCCATATACATGTATGTGTATGCATGTAACAGTTAATGTAAAAAGAAGGAATCAATTTTAAAAAGACCAAGAAGTGGTATATAAGAGAGTTTGGAGTAGAAAAGGGGAGCAAGAAAATGACCTAATTACAATCTCAAAAAAGTAAAAGAATAACATTTTAAGATGGCTGTGAAGAGAGGCTTGACTCAGTGGTTAAGAGCACTTGTTGCTCTTGCAGAGAACCCCGGTTGGATACTTAACGCCCACATAGTGGCTCACAACTAAGGTTAGTGAGCATTTCTAAAATGTTAGAAATCACATCAGTGCTTAGTAGGTCCTGACACGTAGGCTGGAATTTAGAAAGGGATATAATACATGTCTTGGACTAGGAAACATGTATAATTTAAACCCCTTAGCGAGTGGAGTTGCTTGGAGGCAGTCAGAGTGGGTGGGAATCCGTGCCATAGTTCCTTGGTCTGGGAAATATAAATGAATCCTGACTTCTATCAAAGGGCTAAATAAGATAGTGGAAGTGCCACCATTAATGAAATGTGTAAAGACACCATTAAGCAAGAATAGTTGTGGGCTCAGCGTTTTCCAACAGTCAGTATCTTTGCCCTGATACCATTCTCCCTAGAAACCACGCTGTATCCATTGTCTGGTCTCATAAGAATGGGAAGCCATGCTATGAGCACTCAGAGGGAGTCTTAGGATTCTGTCATTTACAGTTAAAGCCCCCCCCCCCCCACTGGGCAGGCTTGCTCAGTGGATATAAAGTGGCTTTGCACCCTTCTGCAGGAGTAAAACATTTTGCTTTACAAAAATTCTCTGGGTTTGTGGTCATTTATCAATGATACCCCAGACTTATTTTACTGTTGGGAACCACCTTAAAATTACTTACTTGCAATTACCACTGTGCTCACAAAAAGTAGAAGCAGCAAGGCAATGGAGACTCCAGCATAGAAACCTTTTGTCTTGGTCACAGGTAGATTGCTTCCTAGGGAAACAGCAGCAAACTGAAGAAGCACCAAGAGAGAGGAACAAAAAACAAACTCTAGACCTTAACATAGTCCTCACCTTTATTGGCCTGTGGCTCATCTAGAAAATGCAATAGGACTCAAAATCAGAGGTAGTTGTGCACAGTAAAACTCTGAGACAGTGTGAGTTCAAAGTGTATTCGAGAACAGTGCAAATATGACCTATTTTGCTCAGAGTAAATACACGCATGTATACCTCTGTCAACATTCTAAGGAATACGTCATTTGTGTGATTATATTTGCATTAAGTCGGTAGGCTATGCCTCTACCGAGAAAAACAATGGGTCTGCTCTAAAGTTGACTTGCTTTGACCTTACCCCAATATACACAGCTGCTGGGTCTGACCATTTATCATAGACCCTATTTTCTCGTAAAAGGCAATTCTAGATTCTACTTTTTTTTTTTTTTGAAACAGTGCCTCACTTCTCACTTTGTAGCCACAGCTACCCTGGAACTCTCCCCTGTACGTCAGGCTGGCCTCTAACTCAGAGATGCACCTGCTTCTGTTCCCTGATGGCTGGGATTGAAGCCGGATGCTCCATACCAGGCAAGATCTAC